ATCGCCGCTTAGCAATACTTTACTTTCGCATTGATTCATCGTATGTATGACTGTACACATTTGTGACTGCCAGCCACAAAAAAATTATCAAGCAAAAACGCGCATTAAATCAAGCTTTCATTCGCAGCAGCACTGAACGATCCACTCTTCACCAGAAACTACTAAATAGTAAAAACTACTGATAGTGAATAATCTTATCTTACTGAAAGTAAACTGACCTGTTCCTACTTCTCGAAATCATCACCACATAAAAACTGGCTAATTAATAGCAACTACAATGCCCTATAAGCTTTCCTCTACGTCCACCATAAACTACTGTTTAGTGGCTCAGGTCCCAGCTCAACTATCCTCAGATCAGCGATTCCTCATCAGAACCGTTCCACTATCGAAAAAGACATTCTCTCAATGTCATTTCCTTTTTTACTGATTGTCAATCAAATAATTCTTCATCGAATAGAAATCAAAAAAATGAGCAAAGTGTTCCTTCAATCAATTGCAAATAATAATCGTGAACGTATGAGTGGTTAGACGTGGAAAATTCAGGGTTTGTATGAAATTTCATTCACATTCAGTGCAAACCGCTCGTAGTCAATACGATATTATGCAGAGTTTGCAATACAAATACTGCACACAACATTGATAACCACATTATTTGATAAAATATTAAAATGCAACGAAAAAGACATTACTCTTTATACGTCATACCACATCACCAAATTCAGGATATCATTTCACGTTTGCAAGTAAAAGAAATTTGATTCATGAAGAAAGCAATGCAGACGAAGATGATACAAATATTGAAATGATCTAAAATAATATCAAAAGAAATGATTTCAAAAGACCCTCGCGTAAATTTCAAAGAACTAAAATGGCATCTTCATGAGAAGCATTCATAGTTTCACCACTCTGCGATTTGTGTACATGAGAGATTTTCAAATGCACTTCCGAATTAACAAATAAAAGCAGGATGACTGCACTTGTGAAGATAAAAAAGATAAAAGCGAAGATAAAAGCAAACGGGGCGAAATGTGGAAGCGCTGACAATGAGGTTTCTTTCACTGTTCTAGATAGAAAATTCATCACTGATGAAACAAGAAAAAAACGATAATACAGTGATATTATCCAACTGATATCCAACTCTTAAACTAAAAACTTTTTTAGCATTTGAAATCTCAAAATAAACAGTAACATCTACAGTGACATTGAGTGACCAGATCTAAGATGTGTAGCATATCCTTTCCTAGCGCCGGATCAGAAGCTCAATTGGAAAATTATAAAATTTAGATCCGGAACTATAATTAGAGCCGAAATTTCAAAAGTACGAAACTAAAGTCGGAGCTGAGAATCTGAGGAATGCGGCGCCGAATCCACCATGACCAGAGCTGGATTCGGAATCGAAATTTCTGAACTGTGGAGTCGGAACCTGATCTGTGGAGTCAATTTCTTTGAAATTTGGGCAACGCTGGTAAGAATAACTAATGATATGGGCAAGTTTTTCGCTTATCATCACGTATTCATCTCAACAACGCTATTAGACGATTGAACGAATAATCACTTCATAACAACCATTTTAATAAGTTGAAGACTCGATAAAGTCGAAAGAATAGTCGAAAAAATGAACATCGGAAAACGTAATAATAAAAACAACAATACGACAAACTTACATCATTTCAGAAAATAAAAATTCTCGTGACAACCGAACGACACGATGCGATAAAATATGCATGAGCGAATGGCCGATGATCGTGCTAACATCACATCTATCTATTTGTTTAGTTACCGCTGTGAGTAAACATAGCGCGTTTTGGAACGGATGACTCTGTTCCGACCAAAATAAATTGATGAAAATAAACTTGTGAGAATCATACGAATAAGAGTGTTTGCGTTTGTTTATATATGAACGAAAGCGAACGCATTCGATGCCGTAAAACACGAAAACAATTCGACAACACTGCGCAGAAATTTGTTAACAAATAGACTCGAAACGCTGAGATGTTATTCGCACACAAGAAAATATTATGAATCATTATTTTTCCTTAACGATCCCATTACTCACCCCACTTTCATGAGGTCAACAATGGCACACAATCCCTCGCATCGTTGCTAAGAAGGATGTGGTTTTGATCATACATCACTATCAAATTCTCTATCAAAACATCAACAAATACCTTAAACAAACTCACTCTAGGTACCATTCGATTACTTCTAACTAACACAAAAACACTGCG